TAAATATAATATATCCTAGACTGSCAAATCATCTCCGTTCAGAATCGTTTTTCGTATACAATGATATCTATCATTGCATTCAAATCTAACCTACCCTAGTCAGAGGTCCACCCCACCACCTAATGTACAGCAGAGCGACATCCACTTACCCGCTTTTTTTATTTCTCAATTAATGGATGGTTCTATATAAACCGACTAGAATTTCATATTATAATCGCAAATCACTGTTGTATAGGTTACCAACGAAAAATACAACGYCTATGTGGTTCGGCACTTGGTGAACAAAACAACTAATTTGAGGTTAACCTAACCTGACTTCAATATTTTTAAGACGTTTACACGACATAAATTCTAATAATAAACAATATTCGCAGAAGAAAATTAATTAAATAGTAAATTATCTATTAGGTATTCAAAACATTACATCTATAATAATATAGTATATATGTACCTATAATAGTGCGTGCTTTAGATATTTTCTTAAATCAAGATGGTTATCAAAATAATTATAATAATTATCGCAAGACACGTAGCCCATACTGAAGGTAAAAAACAAACAACTTTAAGGAGGTCTTCGGTTATTCTGTTTCGATATCGGACACCTGTTATACAGTGAATATAATGTACTTATATGAATAATAATTAATCGTACGAATTTGCGTGGAATTTAACTATACGCGAACATTATTATAATAATTCCGTGAAACAATAATAACACGTTAGTTTTGAGTGTGCGTATGTCTGTGTGTGTGTAGTACAACTGTGTATAACAATAATTATTAGGTTCCCAACGAACACGTTTCGCTACTGGATTATAATAACGTAAAGGCGTAAGTATAGGTATATTAATATTATTTTACGCGGCTATCCACATCATAAATTATCTTGAAAATTGGTTTCTTTAATTTAAAGAAAATTAGAACCCGAAATTCACTCTGTATGTCGTCGTCAACACGTGGTGTTCAAAATTCTAAGATACGATTATGCTTCAGCCTGCAGGGTACCCACACGGATAATTTAATGCAAATAATTAACTTGAGTTGAGTTAAGTGCACACAAAATCGCTGAGTTAGGATTTAATAGTCAAAAAATAATATATATTGAACTCTCTAAGTTTAAATTTAATAGGTATGTATTTACKTCGTAGATAATCATAGGATTTAAGAGTATTCTGTGTCCATATCTATAGTATTAAAATTTATAATACTCATACAGTTATGCCTATTATTTTATCAAGAAATGGAACAGAATTATTACCTATTATCTATACTTACAATTATTTTAGTATTAGATTATATCTATTTAAAAACCGTGTACAGTAATATTAATGTATAACACCATTAAAACCAAAAATTTCAAAAAAATTTTATTTTAAATTTGTAGTTTTTTTTTTAAATCAACTGAAAAAAGYTATTTAAAAGTTAATTCAACAGTAAATTAAACTAGTTAAAGTCTTAATTCGACTAGGAAATGAATTAAAAGGTTAAGAATAAATACACTTTTACTAACTTAACTCAAACTTCTTAACTACAATAGTGAATGCCCACCATTGGTTACACCTCTTTTAGGCTCTAAGCATGAATCCCGTTCATCACGTTAAAACTGGCTACACGTGGCTAAAACACAACCCATTAGGTTTTATAGGTTTCTATCTACTTGTATCATAACATTATTATATAATGTATATTAAAAAAAAAGAACTGGTGTTGGCTTAACATTATATTATACACTCAAAGTCATTGAATAAAAAAAAAAAAACGTCATAAATAAAATATGGGTGTAAAGATATTAATCCCACAAAAATGTTTAACAAACTCGCAGGCATCGGCTCGGGTGCACGGCACACTTTCATTTTTGGACGCTATATAGTATGTCAGTACCAGTCTCACCGTAAAGTAATAATCCCCTCATCGCGGCACACGTTATATTTTAGAATTTTTGATGATAATTGTATTATAATATTGATCTTGCAGTGACACTAGGAAATTTTCATTCAGGTATTGAGTTGGTCTATATTATAATTTGCATTTTATATAATTGCACAGAATCTATTGACTCGTTAAAATATATATTTTTATATATAGGTATAGGTATATTCGGTATATTTGCCCAATATATAATCAATTTTCTGAAACGAGTTATTATGTATTTACTAAAGTTAGGGGGAAAAAATACTGTGCAACTCGTGTCTAATGTTAAAATAATAATTCTAAACGCGAAAAATATAACATTAAAAAAAAAAAGTGTTTGAATGGTTAAAACTTGTTGTAGGTACCTCTATATTATTATTTGTATAGGGTTATCTGTTAACTTGTCTCTTCTTTCCAAAACATATTATATTCATATCGATTTACTACTTTAAGTGCATAATATGATTATTGTTGGTGCGGTTGTACTGATTGCTGATATAATAATATCGTGTTGTTTTCAGATTGTTCGATTTTTCCGTCAGCATACCACACCAACGGCTGTTTATTGAGTACGGGTAACTGTCCAACAACGATGAGAGCTGCAAAAAAATCTAAATCGTATTGTAACAGATAACTACCATCAATACAACAGGTAAGGAGTAAATGGATTTGATTTATTTTTTTGCTTTACCGGTCGTTAGAATTTTCGAATTATTTGATTTATTTTTTATTGCTGCTTAACGGTTGTCGCCGGTTTTTAACGAAACACGTTTAATCAATTGGGTGTATCCAGAAATATCGCGGTTCCCGGTAACCATAATAATATTTACGACGTACACTCGTGCAAAAATAATTATTTTTTATACGTGATATTAAATAACAATTATTATTATTGCTGCGGCGGCGGCGGACCGCGGACCGCGGACATTATATTGTGTTATCTCGGACGTCATTTCGTTGTCCAATACGTATATTATATTAATGCTATCCGAAATTAATGTGCTCTTTTATTCGGGATTATTATTGATGCGAAAAACATACCGGCAGCCGTTTTGAAGGGCGTCATAAAAKATGAGATAGATACTCCGATTAGAGACGTTTCAACACTGAAAGTTWTTCACGGGTAATTTATAAATGCACTACGTGCCACTGGTGCGCCATATTATTTAATTATTACGGAGATCGTGAAGTTTTATAACGCCCAAAAAACTTCAACTGCACAAATGATCTATAAACTAATTAGTAATCATTATTATCGCATCAATAAATATAGCTAAACCTACTAACATTAATAAATTAAATAGATTTTACCACACATTGGCAGTATCAATTTGATTTCAACTAAGTATTAAAAATAATATTTTATTTTTTTATTTTTATCCTTCGATCGAGGTTCATCTTTCAATAATTTATTTAACCTAACCTATATTTTCCCGATAACTATTATTTCGACGCTTTTACGCAGTGCGTGTGCTTACAGTGTACATATATATGCTAGAAGAAAAGCGAAATAGTTTTTGCGTATGCGGAATTGATATCACGAATAGATCCACCGCCAACTATACGTCGTGTATGTTACATGCAACGGATTAATGTGAAGAAAGTAAATCTCTATACCTATGTGCTCCATTTTTTTTTTTTTTTACTTCCGCTAATTAGACAAATCATGCCACTGCAACAGGCCGGGGAGACATCGGTATGATAGTTTATACTCGAGTGGCCGATTTCATATATTATACAAAATAAATTAAATATAAAATAGCAATGTCCAGAGATGCGTCGTATGTCAGCGATCAGGTCTTGGTCGGCTGGTCGTGAAAAGTAGGGTTCTTCCGTCACCACCGCCACCGTGGACTATGAACTCCTTCCCACACGCATTCCTCCGCCGCCGTGTCCCAAAGTGGTACGATAAGAGCAGTATTTGACAAGTTAATAACCACGCCGACGCTACGATTGTATGTCTACTATCACACGGACTATACGACTAGAAATCGATATCGGAAGCGATGGAAAGAAAAAAGCGTCCGATGAGGCAATAATATTATAGGTATATTATATCAAACGCATATTATTACCTATAAGATATGTCTACGTCAAGTTGCGGTCGCCCAAAATGTGTGTTTCTCCGTCGATATGCTCACATTAATTAACGATTCTTCCGGTGGTACCTTACTGTGGCTCGCCATAATGATGTTTTATACCAACCGATTATATTAACATTATGCCCGCGATACGACCTGTTGTATAACTTAAGCGAGTTAGCACTCGGTCGAGACTTGACCCCRTGCCGGAACCGGTTCTATAATATGGTATACGTAATTTGGTATTTACATTTTACACACRGCCGCGGTAATAAATTCAAACGGACAATTTTTGAAACAATTCGTTTTCCCAGTGATCGGTGTAACACACTGTAGTCGCTTTTGGGCATTTACTGTTCTCGAATAAATTATAATGTTTCACTCCCACGTAAACCCCTTTTAAGACATAACCGGCTGAAATAATTAATATTATAAAATATAATAATTGTGCATGTGTCTATAATAAAATATAATGGTTTTTTTTTTAACCACACAACTACTAGGGTATATTTAATTTGGCTTAGAAACAGTTAGAATTGAGGAAAAATTAATGTACGCACAAAATTAAAACGAATTTTAATTCAAACAGTTATTGGTAATTGTTTTTATATTGCATATTCACTACACGTTTCGGGTACAACAGTCAACAATCATACTGTATATAAATATGATACATACATACCTGTTGAATATAGCGMCAAACGTTCAATATGTTTACTGGTAGGTATATAGTTAATAATGAAATGGTTATCATTGATTTCTAAACATATTCATAATCTAGGTTAAAATATGAATAGTTCATAYAGATTTGCAAATGTAATTTTCTTTCAGTGAAATTTGAAATGCTTTTTAGTYAATACATGTATGTAGTAAAATTAAATAATTTGATATTTAAATTTAAATTTAAAGAAAACTATTTAAAATTAAAATATTATAATGCACGTTATTCCTACATAATCAATATAATAATATGGTTTTTATTTTTATTATTTATATTAATTTGGTAAAAGTAATAATATTATAGATCTTACACGACTTATACAGAAGAATTTAATTTAATAATTCATAATAACATCGACGAATTAAAAACAAAATTATGTTACATAAAAATATAATTACGGCGTTTGTTTTATAATACTTATCAATAAAAGTTTTCTGTAAAAGTGTTTCATTATTTTTACAGTCTTTAGCATATGAAAACTCTTTAAACAAAACACGAAATCATAAATTGATAATCCGTTTAAAGTGTAAAATCAGACTTTTTAATATTGTACCACCATTATTATGATTTAATTTTAATAACTACTTTTTTTTTAGAAAAACATCTTTTGTACAATATGCGTTGGTTTTTTAAGAATCCTTGTGTGGTCGGTGTAACTTATTTCCCAACTAATTCCAATTACAACAGTCTTAAAAGAAAAATAAAGGTATATGCTTTGTCTTTTTTTAATAATTAACTAACAATTGTTAATTAAATGTATACAGTGTATAATAATAGTATATTACTTTTGTATGGTAACATAATATTGATTGTAAAAAAAAATATAAACATTTGTTCTGGTATTTCAAATTATTACGTTAAAGTGTAGTATATTCTCTATGTTTATTTTTAATTAAAATGTACACGCCAAATTTTTTAGAAAGTTACATTTTAAAAACCATACTACTTATATTCGTGGAAAATAAAACTTATGAAATTATATGAAATAGATGTATATAAACGTAAATATTGACACATTTCGACGTCCCCTACTGGCTAATTAAGACTATATTATGAAGCTAACCAGAATAAATAATAATAGTTATAATGAAATACCAACGGCTGATTTCTATTTTTTTTTTTTTTAAACAGTAAACGATGGAAAAGTAAAAACTCGAGTGATTTATTTAAATGATATACAATCGGCGAAATAACTATTTACACTTTTGTTTAAATATAGTTTTGACTTTAGACGCTATGAGCGATATTTCATTAGATCAAATATACAACACCATATCAACTTAAATAATAAAACATACTATACAATTGGAGAAATTATTTTTTACACTTTTGTTTAAATATAGTTGAAACTCAGAATGCTATGAGCAATATTTCGTTAGATCAATACAAAACCATATAATATCTCGGCGTGATATTTCTTTACACCGTTGAACTGGATATAAGGACATCTCCGGGCACATTCAAAAAAAACTTCAATTACGATCACTGTAAAAGTTGTTCTATACATCAGATTAGACAAATGATGAATGTGATTTCTGCAAAACCCTCTGGGTCATAAAATATATTTTTCTTTTCGTTCTAAAACTTGCAAGTTGCAAGTATAATACAGTTCCTGAGATGTTATCGGTTTTTATTTCAGAGAAACTTTCAAACAAAAATTAAGTGTTTGCAAAACTTGATGGGATTCATGAAAATTAATAAAACATAAATAATAATTAAATATATAATTTACTATTATATAGATACCTCTAACTAATTTGTCAACAATTATAAGTATTTATGTTATGGATTTTATGGGCCCCTGCAGTAGATTATTTTAGATTTGTGAACTTATTCTTTGTATTATATTATGTATAGTTTTTTTGCGATACAAATTTTAAACCATAAAAATAGAAAATTTAAATTTAAATTTTGATTAGTATTTCTTCTTGGCGTTGCAGTAGTACCTAAGTAATAATACCTATATTATATAATTACTTTAAAAGCGTTTATATTAATAATATACAAAGTAGTATAAACACATTTTTTTGAACAGATATATTATAATTTATAGGTAAATTAATGATTTAAATTCAGTTATCTTAACTAATGAATAAACCGGACAATATTTATTAAAAATCTAATCATATTTATATTTATTAATCAATATTTCCGAAAAAATGTAAAACACATACTATAGTATTAAATATTATAGGTACGGGGAATAATTTATTTTCAAATGAGGSTAACTTTTTGAAAAGCAAGTTCCTATATTGAATAAAACTTGTTTGAATAGATCCCATCAAAATTCAAATTAGAAAATATCTGTGTCTTTACAAACACGCAAACGACAAAAAACCATGCTAGGTTACAAAACCAGATTTCAAACAAATATATTATGCCTAAATGTATGCCTATGTATTTTCTTAATTTTTTTTTTTTTTGAAAACTAATCCTAAAAACCACTCTACAATAACTGGTAGTATTCAATAACTTGAGAAAATAAATGATGCAGTCTAAAACATTTTAATGTGAGTTTTTTATTTTGTTTTCGAAAATGGTTTTAAGCTCTGTTGTATCAAAAGTAATTATAACTTAAAATTTAAGGTTTTTTTTCTAATCAATTAAAAATGTAATAAATACCTGGTATACATACATACATACTTACATACATACATACATATATATATATATATTTTTTTTTTTTGTATTATGGACCGTAATAATAAACGTTGTCCAATGACAAGTCCCGCCGTGATATGCCATTCAGGTTTTCTCACGAAATTGAATAGTTTATTTAATTGCAGTTTAATTTGTTTAAATCTCCTCCAAATATGATTTTTTAAAGCAAGTCGAGATATTTAATTCATG